TCATATTACTATTGTTTTTGTTCAGTAGAAAAAAATCATCATATCCATCGGAGATGGATCAATCCTTTCCTCAACTCCTAGCTTCTCATATTCTGAAAATGAATTGGATGTTAACTAAATTCAATTCAGGGGAGCTCCGGAAGCTAAAAGTTGTTTAAAAACCAGTTTCAGTCTCTTCCCAAGACCCTTCCGGATTGTCGAAAGTGGTCGAAGAGCGGTCTTGTTTTAGTCCAGGAAGGGTAGCAAAATCTTCCCAATACCCCTCAGAACTCTCGGGAACTGCTCCGTAACGATTTTAGCTGTACGATCGTTACAATTTGGATTGCTCTTCCGCTATAATTTTAGAATATAATTTCTGTCGTCTCTTTTGTTAACCGCACGTCTGTGTTATATCAACGAAAATCGTTGTTCTGGTTTTGCGGTTTCAGTGTTCGTGAAAATCAAAATTGTTACTCTCCTAATTCGTTAAATTGAACGATTAACTCTGTTAATTCGTCGAGACTGCCAATTTTCCCACTGGGCTGCTCCTCATACAATTTTGAAGTCGTCATGCATTTTGACCATTCCGGTCGAATGTGTTAAAACTAAATTACTCTTGAAAGACACTTTTATTGAGGCACAACGGGATACACAATTATGTATCTGGAAATAAGCATTATATACTGCATTGGAACATTTTAACGGTAGATAAAGTAAACAAAACACTTGACAATTAACAAACTGCACTGTTTTCTTTTTTATTTTGTTTGCCGCGTAATTAACGGCTCAAGTGCTATATAAAGCCACAAACGCGTCTCAATCAGTCACTGATTATTCTGTGGAGAGATCCACTCTACATGACGCTCAAAAGTTGGTCTGTTGGAGCTGTTTTCTTGGTCATACAGTGAGCTAGCTGGAAGCGAATTGGCAGCCATTTTATCAAGAGATTTTTCTCATCGATAACTTCACGTATAGCGGCTATAGCGACGCGGAGCCGCTTCTCAGTCACGCCTTTCGCAGACTTCAATGAATCGTGTAGTTGCTTGCTATCAATGTACGCTATCATATCGAACTCTACACCCAGAATTTTATGAAAAATGCTGTTCAGAAACAAAGCGTTGTCAATCGCATCTTGAAGAGCTAGCGTTTCTGCTGCTAGAGTACTTCTTGCTATGCGCTTAACACGCTTAGAATTCCAGCCAATCAGATGAAAAGTCTCACTAATAGTACTGAAAAGTCCAATGACATAACCTGCCTGAGAGCCACCATCTGGAAGATTTTGAAACGCAGCATCGGAGAAAGTGCACAGTTTTAGAAACCGTAATTGCCGCTTTTCTGTGAAGAAGAGTGGTCTGAAAAGCAGTTTACAGTCTTTCTCATAAGTCACCCGGCGTATCAGCTTGTTGGCGAGTTTAGCGAAATTGACATGCATGCCATCACAACTGATAAATGTATTAGCACTGAAACTGAGATCCGGCCTTGTCTGACTGCTGAGCCACTGAAGTTTACCAACAAGGCTTCTGAACACTTCAACCTCACGTTCTGATAAATAATCTAAGTATCTGGTTCAAAATCCATCTGAACCAAATTTTCAACAAACTTTTTCTCGGGAAACCGAAATTGTACCGTCTGCTTCTTTCTTGAATGCCAGTCCAGTGAAAATCAGAGGCAGTCTCGATTCTGAACCAATCGTGAAAGTACGTTTCAAAGAACTGACAAACCTGTTCCTGAACTGAGTAGTACCTGTGATCCGAAAATCATCCACGTGAGACAACACGAGGCCTTCCAGCTCTGATGAATCTGGGAATTTTAACGCTGAAAACAACTGTCTGGCGACCCATGTTTCCAAAAAGAATCTGAGTACTTGAATCAAAGGTTTCTACGACAACTTCTGGAGACAAATTACGCATGAACAAATCAAACCAAACCGCTCCACAGACACTGGAAGTGCAACCAGTGTCAATTATGCCGTGATTTAGGGACTCATTCGGCAGTTTTGAGTTTGTTGCAAAAGCGGCATCAATGTCGGGTTCTCGCTGTCCAGAAAGAAAAGCAAAAATCACCATTGACTCGGACTCTTCTTCAGTTTCCCCTTGAGCTTCCAGGGCTTCCTCCAGACACACTTTTATGTCTTGAAACTCGTTTGGAACTTCCAGCATTATTCGAGTCTGGACAGTCTTTGACATAATGAAAAATCGATCCGCATGTCACACAACGTGTGATATGTCCCTGTTTGTTGCGTGGACTGGTTCGTTTCTCCACACCACCACCTTGCTTCTGCGTGTCACTTTTGCAATCTTCTTTGCGCTTATCCCACTTTCTCCTACTGTGCTTACCAGCAAAAAACGCTTCTTGCTCCATCCGTATTTCGCCTTCATCGGCGCTCTCGCCAATTCCGACAAACGTACGGCGAATAACTCGTTTAACTTCGGAGTACTTCAAAGAAGTAACAGCAGAAAGTAACATTTGTTTCTGGGACTGTTGTAAATCAGCAACTTCTAGCAGCTTGCAACCCTGCATCTCTTCTGGCAGCGAGAGACTATGACTTTTCAACTTCGTGTAGCGTCTTTCAAACTCAATAAGAAAAGAAGACATCGATAAATCCCCTCTGCTGAACAAATTCAGATACGCTTCATAGGCACTTTCCACTGATTCTTTCTGAAAATTGGCATCCATCACAGCCAAGATAGAGTCCGTTCCTTTGTCGCTGTTAGGCTGATCGACACTGACAGATATGGCTACTTCTTTGTACTGGCCTGTCAGAGACAACTTGACAACACGGTTTTACTAAAGGTAGATCAGTTTTGACAAACATGCTCTCTTTCCTGAAAGAAATATATGAAGCGCTTGACAATGACTCAAACGCAGAAATTGTAGCATTCTACACTGACTTTGCAAAAGCCTTTGATAAAGTTCCGCATTTTGATCTACTTAAGAAAGTTGCACTTATAGGAATAGGAGGCTGCATGTTAGAGGTACTCTATGACTATTTGAAAAACAGGAAACAGTTTGTACGAGTAGACAATATCAGCTCAAAAGTTTTAGAAGTCACTAGTGGTGTTCCCCAAGGATCACTTTTAGGACCACTGCTCTTTTGCATTTTTATTAACGACCTACCTGAAGTACTCAAATTCTCTGAACCATATATTTTTGCGGATGATCTTAAACTACTCTCCATCAAAAAAACATCAATTGAAATTCAAGAAGATCTGGACAAAATTCAGCAGTGGGTAACTGAGAACAAAATGGAATTAGCACTAGATAAATGTGCAAAAAGTAAGTTTTAGGGGCGGAGACGCTAACTCTATGCTTTTTGGTGTAGTGCTTGGAACATCGATGGTTGTGAAAGATCTGGGAATTTTTGTGTCGGGCGATTTAAGTTGGAAGGTACACATTGAAACAAGATTAAAGAAGGCAAACCAAGTACTGTACCTCCTGAGAAGAAACCTATCAGCAAAGATAAATATGTTTGTAAAGTTAGGCCTGTATAAGTCACTAATACTCCCAGTGTTATTATACGGACTCTCATGTACACATATATCGAGGGGGGATCAATTGCAGTTGGAGCGATTTCAAAAGAAAGTAATCCGTTGGATCACTGGAAATAAAACGGGAGTGTACATCAACGAACTACGCTTGCTAAACATTTTACCCCTGCCCATGTTCATCCAGCTAAATAACATCTTACTTCTTGCCAGTCTTGATTCTAATGAACGAAATGAAATAGTGTTAAACAGGCGAACCACACGGGCTAGAAATACAGAAATTTTTGAGATGCGAAAAGTGAGAACGGAAAAAGCGAGAAACGAATTTGTTTTCAGAACCAGTAGGATTGTAAATCGATTAGAACCATATATTCATTTTGATAAACGAATCGGCCTCAAGACGAGAATTTTAAACACGATGTGGAAATTTGTAAACGAGAGATTTTCAGAAATGACAACGTGCACGTGGCAATTATTCTGTGATTGTATCACGTGCAGAAACAAGTGGACATTGTTTTAGAGAAGACGCCGGGACCAAGAATCCCAACAGCAGTGCTGTGAATCCCCAACAACAACAACAGCAAGTGCTTGTTTCGCTTTAGCCATATCCGTCATTCTTCGCCAAATGTCGACTTCAGAACCATAACTGTCGTAGGATACACCACACTCAGAGATGGTGGATTCTTGTAAGAGGCCATTACTAACTACCTCCTGCTGTCATTGTTTACACGAAATTAGTCTTGAAAGATACTTTAATTGAGGCACAACGGGATACTATCAGGTCTCTGAAAATTAGAATTACATACTGCATTGGAACACTTTAACGGTAGATTGAGTAATCAAAACACTTGACAATTAACAGAATGTCACGCTAACATTGAACTGGCTTTGGTAGATGGTCAAAAGCATGTAAAGCTGTGTTTAGACGCTAGCCAGTCGTTTTAGAACCTAGCTTTATTTTTACGTCGGTATGCTTTTCGGGGCGAATGTTACGCGGTTTATTCTGTGCAGGTCATAGTTTTCTCAATCTGGTTGGCTTGATTCCCAACCATCTTACTTTCTCAACTTCTATCCACTTTATACTTTTCTCTTCCATATCTAGAAAATTTTGAGGATTTTGACTGGATAATGTGATAAAGGGACTCCTGACTGTAACCTTGGTTATTTTGATACTTCCGACCTCCTAATTAAATCTGATTTGAATACATGAAGAAAAATTGTGGGACTTAGGCAACGCATTTTTATTTTGGGTCCTATGAACGTTCGGACCTCCTCGAACTCACCATTAAGGGCATGACACAATAGACAATTCTATCTGTGCTATAATCGAGGAGGGTAGATTTTAATTGACAACTCTCTGGATGCAATAAAATCATTTTGATTTATTTATGAATTTTTGCCGATGTATTTATATAGCGTTGGTACGGCCCTATCCAACCTGTGCGCGTACCGTCGCATGACGGAAGGGCCCATTTTCATTTATCCTTAGTCGAGGATTGATGCTTGTCTTTGTTTCATATCTTTCCAGTTATAGATAAAGATATGAAGTTTCTCTAATTCAACCCTGTAAATCGCATTTGCTATGAAATCATAATGTTGCCCAAACATATCCTTGATCAGTTACTCGTTTGTGCTCTGCTGAGCACAATAGCCAGTTCACAAGCTCAACCCGATATTCCAAACGTCCAAACTCAGTCCAAAGAAAGTTCCGGGACGGAAGGGGGAAAGGAACCAAAATCAGGCAAGGTTTTTTTTGATGCACTTAGATTTTTCAGACCAAGTTTTTTTCGTCTAATTCTTACCCGTACCGACCAGATGTTAAATCTAAGTTTTTAAAGCAGATTTACGACTTATTGGGATAAAATCTGAATGGAAGGTCAAAAAATTGAGTTTGGATATCTTATTAAGAAGTTAGCTTTTCATATATTCAGCAGATCCTTAAACATAAGTTTTAATTTTTGAGTTTTCTAGAGGCCGGTAGCCCTATCGAATCTCAAGAAGGGCTTGGAAAACAGCCAGTACAAAAATATTTTGAAAGATCCTTTGTTGACGACTCGACAATACAGACCAAAAACAAAGAAATGCTAATGCGCGATTTTGGAATGAGAAAAGCGAAAAGTACTTTTGATATGGACCTGGATGAACTTGGAACTATTGATAAAGGCTTAGAGGAGGTTGAGCAGCAGCTGAAAAAATTTAGCGAAGCTGAACAACTTTTTAACGAGGCAGTTTCAATGTTGAACAAAGTTGACGATAAAAAAGCAATCAGAAAAGCTTATGCTTTATTTCAACAAGCTTGGAAGCTGAATCATTCAGAAGCTGGAGGCATTGTTGCAATGGCACATGTATTTGGAATCCATTTTAAGCAGAATCTAAATTACGCTCAGGAGCTTTTTGTCAATTTATCTGCAGTTGGAGAACCACGAACTCAAGCTGGCTTAGCTTTGTTGTATTCTCTGGGCATTAATGGATTTAACAGATCACTGGCTAAGTCGCTTGTGTATTATACCTTTGGAGCGCTTGGAGAAAATCCACTTGCGATGATGGCAATGGCCTACAAAAACTGGCAAGGTAAGCTACTTAACGACGTTGCTGGTCAAAGAATGCATCTGTGAATTAATAGTTACGCTTGCGTTTAGGAAGCGTTATCAAATCGGAATATAGACTTTTTGAGCTAAAAACTTGTTTAACAAAATCAGTTGAATCAATTGCTGCTATGCAGCTGACATGCTCAGTTTCATGAAAATTCAAAATTAACTAATGTGGGCCGTGATGTATTAAATTAGTATATAATTTTTCTAAATTGCTTGCTTAACAATAAAATCAAGTACGAGGCGAGGTTTTGGGTTCTATAGAAACAACTGGTTATGGGAAACGCCCCTGCATGATCATCTAAGCCCTTTTTTTAACTCAAAAGTTGGAACCCTCGGAAAAAACTAATATTTAATTTTTTAATCATTTTTTTTTCTTTTTGACCTATCTCGAAAATTAGTCGCTCAAATCTGAGATTTATGTTTCAAATAATGGTTTGGTTTTTGGGAAAGTCGCCTACATTATAAAAAAACTTTTGGCTCTCGGAAAAGTCTAACTTTTTGATTTTTGACGGTTTTTTGAAATTTTTTATTGTTTCTCAAAAGCAGTCGGACCATTTTTGAGTTTTTAGGTTCAATTTGAGAAATTGAGTTTTTAGGTTCAATCGAAGCAACCTGATGTGGGAAGCGCCCCTGCATAATCGCCTAAGCCCATTTTTTTACACAAAAGTTGGGGCCCTCGAAAAAGAAAATAATTGTTTTTTAATAGTTTTTAGAAACTATTTGATTTTCTCGAAAACTACCCTATGTAATCTAAGTTTTTGCGTTCAATTAAAATAAGAGGTTGTATGATCAATCGAGAAATCCGATATTGGAAATCTTTTTTACTAACGGGAATACGAATTTCAACGTGCGTAAAAAATTGATATTTGGATTATGTGGGGAAGAGGGACGCAAAAGTTTTAAATTAGTTTTGAAATTTTGAAAAAATATATAATTTTGGCTTTGTCATTCTATTGTTTGGGCATGGTTTTTTCATAAATCTTCTCATTCATTTCGATAGATCCAGATGTATCGCAAGTGGTGCGATGCTCAGCTTCGTCTCTCTGTTTCAATCAATCATTATTACGGATTGCCGGTTATTGTGCAAGTAGCACAGAATGTTCTACCATAGTCTTTAAAAAATTACCAAACAATGTTTTGTTTTCAAATTAGTTTTTTCTGAGTGGTGTGATAGAAGGATCTGATCTAAAACTATAATTTAGGCATATTAGACAGTCATAGTAATACAAGCAAATTGAACAAAAATTTTTGTAGAAAAATGAATGAAAACAAAAACAATAAGAACAAATTACGAAAGAAAATTTTTGGTCTTGGACATGTTTTCAGGGCTTGAATTAAGCATAATTAAGAACTTCAATTTGGTATATTACTCGACCCATTCCAATGATTATTTGTGGTACCAAGTTTTGCGTGAAAAAAGAATGAAACACGCCCGATTACAAAGTTCCTCCACATTATTCAAATGGTCGGAACATTAAAGAAGCAATCCGATTTTCGAGATGGTTCTAAGTTGTATATTTGTAACTTATATCTTTACAAAACTATGAAAATTAAAACTAAAGTTTTGGCTGTTTTGATAACTATTCAATTAAGTATCACGTATAGTTTGAATAAAAGATCGTTTGTCTCAAGATCATAAATAACATTAGACAAAGAACAGAAACACTTAAATTGTAACAATGTGGTTAGAGTCAGGTTCAATAATATATATTCTGGTTTCATTGAAGGAATCGGAGTGCCTCAAAGCTGCGAAGGTGCCCTAGTGTGGTACAGAAGAGTGGCGGACAGAGTTGCCGAAGACGTCACATTGGGCAGTCCAGTGATCACTCGAGTGAGACTTCAGGACCAGTTCGAGAATCCCAACTTCTTCTCATCCCTCTTTGACCAGGATCTCATCCAGTATTTCCAGTTCATAGCCGATAAAGGTAAGAAACAGGTCAACGTTGTAAGAGCCCCAGCATGTCAAAAAACTTAATAAAAAATAAATAGTTTTTTTGTTCCGACTACTGAAAGTGGGAAGAAATTTTGCTTTCGGGTATGCTTTAGTGTTTTTTTTGCAAACCTAGCCGCCACAAACAGTTACGTCTATGGTCGAATGATATATCATATGAAAGCCCTCTCAGTCGTAATTCAAACACAGAAAGTATTTCAAAACGTTTTCTCACTGTCTAGAAAAACCGGTTGGAAAGTTTCGACTGCTAACCTTACTTCGAGCAAATAAAGCGAGTCATCAGACTCATAAAAATACGAGCCTCTTTAAATTGTGAAAATTTAGTTTTAATCTGAAACTCATTGTTCGAAGTTTCTTTTAGCACCTTGGGAGAAAAAAATCATCGATTTTAATATTTTTTATTCGTTTATGAAGAAGTCTATGAAGAACTGTTGTTGAGTATACCTATTTTACTATCTCCGTTGAACATGCCTAAGCTTAGGCTTTTCTTCGGCTCCTCTCACCACACAGCTGGTAAAAAATAACGAAACAATTTAAAAAACGATATAAGGTTTTTATTATTGTCGACCGTACTTCGTGCTACTTGCACAGCAACCGGCTATCCTTGTTTGCTTTCGGTGTCATTTTCGATCATCCCCAAATCTGTACTTTCGTCATCCAACTGACGTCAACCGTTCTATTTACTCTAGCGAGCGAAGTGTAATAGTACGAACCTCCTTGTTTTTCTGTAATTTAAGTTGCAATTGAAATTGTTCATTAACAGTGTTCATTTATTTTTTGGCACTTTGGCTATAATCATGATCTGTAGCGTATGGAATTTCATAGCTTTGGTTCTCTGCCTTATTTGTGGCCAGTGTTTGTGACTTATTAAGCTTCTTAATAGGCCAATGTATTGGCAACGCAATGGGCCAAGCAGGTGTGGGACAACTGTACATGAACAGATACAGAGTGATGAAGGTAACAGTGGTTGCTGGTTATTCCTAACCGAATGTTCCGACCAATATATTGAATTTAAGACAATTTATCGACGAGGGAAACGAAGAATATACGAGAGGTTGTTGTGCTCGTGGGAAAGCATTGAATGCATTTTTAATATCCGTGTCAGGTGGTTTTCCGTCCCCAATAAACAACAAACATGGATCAGAGTGGCATCATGGCTCTATTCGTCTCCAGTTATCCATGTAGAAGCCTATTATTATTCATTATTATACTCGTGATCTTCGAGCAAAGTGTAATAGTACGAACCTTCTTGTAGTTTTCCTAACCGAACTCGCAATTGAAAGTGTTCATTAACAGTGTTCCTTTATTTGTTGGCACTTTTGCTATAATCACGATCTGTAGCTTATGAAATTTCATAGCATTGGTTCTCTGCTTTTGGTGGCTAGTAATTGTGATTTTTAGAGCATCCGTGGCTGAGTGGTTTGTGCGTGAGGCTCATAAACTCTAGGTTACAGATTGAATCCGAGACGCAGCCGCATTTTTACTAATTTGAGGCTTACTTTTTCTTATTGCACTTTATAGAGCTGCTTTTTGTCGTGTTCTGACTAGTGTTTGATAAGCGCAGCTTAGACTCTGCGTTGAATTTTACTGCTTTTGTTGTTTGTAAAGTTACGCATAAAATTTATTATGAGTTTGTTTTGAGTGGGGACTATGAAAACACTTTTGTTTCGGCTCAATGGCTATCTGCTCAATTTTGTTGGCTTTGTAAACTAACCGCTTGTGAAGTCTTTTTTCCATTGCTCGCATCAGGCATGCTCGCATTTTCCATTGCTCGCATTTGACATACGTTCTTAAATGGGCTCTTTTCCAGTTTTCCACCTCCTTGTAAAATTTCAAAGCTGTTCAAAAATTGTTCACGTTGTGCATGTGAGAATTGTTGTAAAAATTTGGTCACCTGTTCAAACTGACACGTTTTGATGCAGTTTTTATCTTGAGTCGTTTCAAGTAGACTTTTATATATTGAATTTCGGAAAAAATCAGGAGGGGCATTAAAAGAGTCTTTAAATGATTTGTTTTTTTTTCAATACATGATACTATTGCTTGATCTAATGTTTTTGCCATTTTTTGACTTAGCGATTTTTGTTTCTTTTCCTCTCGGCTAGATTGGCGTGTTAGATCTGTTGCATATCAGATGGAGGAATACGTGAAATCGACAGTTTTTTAGCTTCAATTTATAGAAAGAAGAAAGAAAGTTAATTGTCCAATATCAAACGAAACTCATACATAAGTTGAATCACGATATTTTACGATACGGAGGGGATAGAAGAAATGCATTTTGTATGCCTATTAGGGGTCTGCCCGAAACACACTAAGTACACTTAGTGAAACAAGCATGATAAACATTACTTATACAGATATTAAAGGACCACAAGAGAAAAATATTAATAAATAAATTTTAACTATTAAAATTTAGTTAACTTGATTACTAAGTTGTGCGTATGAAGTTAGTAATAGTGGTTCGTGATAATGCAACATACTCATTCAATCTAGACAGCACCTAGAAATTTGCAAAAAAAAAAGTAAATTGATCAGCATGCTTTCCTTTACAATTTTTAAAGCATTTATAGATAACAGGCGCCATGCTGCTTTGCTACCAGCAGATTTCATGCTGCTTTCTTAAGCTATCACAGAATATTTGTACTTATAATTCTGTCCAGTTGTCTATAAAAAAAATTGGGCTTTCGGCGGAGTTTAACAATTTATTGCTCAAGTTTATTTTTATCAAAAAAAAGTGTCATCCTGAAAGATTTTTGTAAACTGTCGTGACTTGAAAATGTTTTTTTTTCTTGTTTTTGTAATGAGGTTAAATAAAAAAACCCTCGGAGTTGTCATTAAATGGTATATCGATAGATTGGATAATAGATAGAAACATGGGATTGATTGTACCAAGTATGCCATATAAAAGTGAAATTGTTGATTGACACTGTAAGGAGTCTCTCTCAGTGTAGGTGCTAAAACCCTATTATTATTATTGTTATTATTATTATTATTATTATTATTATTATAATGATTATTATTTTTGTTATTATTATTATGATTATTAACATTAAAGATGCAAGGTCATTATAAAAAAAAATAGTCAAAAGGAATCAGTTTTGTCTTTAATTCTTGGACAGGAGACACCAAAGCGCAGATTGGGCTGGGTCAGTTGCACTACCAGGGAGGAAGGGGCGTGACTGTGGACTACAAGACAGCCTACAACTACTTCCAACATGCAGCTGACAAGAGCAACAACCCCAATGCTCAGGCGTATCTGGGTAAGGCAGCAGTGGATCTTCTGAATCGAACATTTCGACAGCTTTGAATTGTTTAATTTCAATATGTCGTACCAAATATGTCCCTTGGGCAAGTCTTTAAAATCCTAAAATGTTTTTTTTTTCAATCAAGATAGAAGAAAAGCTTACTCAACATGTTCCTTGGGCAAATATAAAAAATTATAAACATTACAGCATGTTTTGAAAGCATAATAGACTCAAAGCAAAATTTGTTTAGGATGCAATCAGAATTTTGTGAAGCGGGCTCAAATGTGCTGAGAGTTTTAATAAAAAGGGTCAGATACTTTATTCAAAAAATGAATTTCCTGTCTATTCGCTTTTTACACTTGCGAAGCAAAGTGTTATAGTACAAACTTTCTTTTTTTCCAACCTAAGTCGCAAATATTGTTGCGACTTAAAGAAACAATATTCGATGCATCGAATTTGCTGCATCGAATTGGCTTGACAGCTTATTTGCATGTTTACAGCTTATTGATAACATGTGCTTTGGCATTCGAATAGCTAAAAGTTTACACAGTTGATGCTTTTTTAATTCATCAAGTGAACCGAAAAAGCTGTGTTTCAAACAACATAACAATAAAATCTCGATTTCAGAAATTTTCTTACTCAATATATCTCGCAATTTTTTAAAATGCATAATTTAGACATGATGTGGCTTTATGATTTGCAATTTATTACATGCAAACTTGTATCTTTTGTATTTGGTGCTGCTTTTGCTGCATCGAATTGGCAATTTATTAGTATATGTAGCTGCATTATTGGTGGCTAGTTTTTGGGGTTTTTAAGCATCCGTGGCTGAATGGCCAGTGCGTGAGACTCAAATTTGCGAAGTCGCAGATTTTTGCTGATTCGAGTTTTTGCTAAGCCTAGAGTTTTTGCAAGTTTTTTTCAGGCTTAGTTGAGTTCCAATTTGCAACCATGAATGACATTTAGGTCGCATGTACATGGAAGATAACAGTTACATCAAAAAGAATTACGACTTGGCCTTCAAGTACTTCAAAGACGCCGCCGATCAGGGCAACGCAATGGGCCAAGCGGGGTTGGGACAACTGTACATGAACGGATACGGAGTGATGAAGGTAACAGTAGTTGCTGGTTATTCAGACTCGAATGTTCCGACCAGTATATTGAAATTAAGACAATTTATCCACGAGGGAAACGAAGAATAAACGAACTGTTCCGCTCTTTGCGGAGATCTTTTGTTGTGCTCGTGGTAAAAAATTGCATGCGAGTTTTTAAGTTTCGATGAACGTAGTGAAGACTCGTAAATAGGTCGAATTGATTTCTTGTTTTTCAGAAAAAAAACTAAAATTTTGTTCACGCTCAATTTCGGTTTTTTTTCCAAGAACAATTCGGTCATTTTTTTTTCGGTTTGTTTGCTTTCATTGGCATTTTTCATCTCTGTTGGCTATATTTTGTTTTTGTTATGGGCTAGATGATATCGCTAGACCAAGCAACGAGCACGGATGATAGTGGTAGCTTGGCTACGTTTCGCCGCTGTATTGATCTAAATAAAATCCTATTATTAGACAATTTCTAGTCATAGGCTCAAATTACTCTCCAAAAACGAAAGCGAAATGACGCGAAAAAAAATTGTGATCGAATTCTAGCTTCGAAAGTGTAATGCAATTTTTAGATTTCCCCGCGGAGTGAAAAATTAGCCCAATCATCTAGTTTTTCTATTGGGTTAACGTTTTTAAAAGGTCAATCATACTCTTTCTTGAAATTAAAAGATCTTTAACCTGGTCTATTTTTTGCTTAAAATGTTAAAATTTTCAATCTTTTTTTTTCGATTTTCCTGTTAAACGCTTTTCCAATCTTTGTGGGCTATGTTGTGAACTGTCTCTAAGAATATGTTTTCAGAGCTACACAGAATCCTTCCGGTATTTCAAAATGGCGGCCGACCAGGGAAACGTAGATGGTCAACTGAATCTAGGAGTGCAGTACTTCAGAGGCCTTGGAGTGCCGAGGGACAACAAAAAGGCTGTCAAGTACTTCAATCTTGCCTCTCAGAATGGACATACTCTTGGCTTCTACTATTTAGCTCAGATGCAAGAAAGCGGTCTTGGGATGTTAAGGTTGCGATAGATTACAATTACGCTTTTAGTGGGGACGTTTTTTTGCGAAAAATAGTTTTAAATAAAACCTGAAATAGAGTTGGGGTATTTTTTTTTGTCGGATGAAATACGTTCGTTTCAATTAACCGAAGTTATTTTTCTGGGCAATTTGGCGCGAAGTTTGTTTTATTTTTGTAGCTCCAAATCGAAATAAATGAAAGAGAAGTGTTTCCTCGCATTAATAAACAGCCATTTTATAATTTCTTTTCTTATACATGAAAGTTATACCATTGTAATCTATCACCGATAAGGTCTTGTCATGTCGCGGTCGAATTGTACAAAAACGTAGCCGAGAGAGGAAAATGGTCTGAAATGTTTATGACAGCACACGAAGCATATATGTCCAGTAAAAAGAACGAAGCCTTTATGATATACGCCACATTATCCGAAATGGGTTACGAAGTTGCTATCTCTAATGTCGCCTTCATGTTGGAGCACGGAGAGACTGACATTATAAGCGACAGTGAGTTAAGCCGAACAGCGCTTATGTACTGGGAACGGTCAGCTGCTCAAGGTTACACGCAAGCACGAGTGAAAGTGGGAGATTACCATTATTATGGTTTGGGAACCCAACCTAACTTTGAAGAAGCGGTCACTCATTATAGACAAGCTTCTGATCAGTTTCAAAATGCCCAAGCAATGTTTAACCTTGCCTATATGCATGAACTTGGATTGGGAATGAAAAAAGATATCCATTTAGCTAAAAGATACTACGATATGGCTGCCGAAACATCTAATGATGCTTATATTCCAGTATTGTTGGCGCTCATCAAATTGGCCTTATTGTACGGATGGGAACCGTTTTACAATGAAAATACAAAAGAGCAATATCAAGTATACTTCTCACCCGACTTTTGGCTCGGGTCAAGTTGGGATATATATGTGATAACTATTCTTGTTGGAGTTTTGTCTGCCTTAGTTTTTGTTATCATAAATCGAAGAAGATGATTTTACTATTAGACTTTAAGTGTGAAGACTTACAAATATTGGGTTGCTATAGTTACATGAACTGGCTCTTTTTAATCTTTCTTTTAAAAGTTACATCAAAAACAACAAAAATTCGTATTTGTCGAGAGTAGATAACCAAGCTACCAAATACTTAAGTAGATTTACTGATTCAGATTCAGTTGCCGATTGCGGAAGGGGGTATTTTTGACGCACTGCCGCAGAATTTAGTCGCCCTCATCTGTTAAAGGAACCTCTTTGAAACTCTTACGACACCCATTTTGGTAGGTTTGCCCTAAAACTTTTGGTAGATTTTTTGGATTCTTGTTCGGCCGCTGATCATGATAGTTTTCCGGGTTGACCAAAACTTCTTATTATACCATTTCCATATATGAGACACTTCTTACTATACAATTCCGTACGTGCAGAAGTTTGCAGGAAGTCTATAAGCATTTTTCCATATCTGAAAATGGTATGAAAGCATTTTTCCATGTATGAAAATTGCATGATAAGCATTTTCTCGTATATGGAGATGGAGGAGTTGTCACATATAAGTAAAAAACAATTTTTTATCTTATAGGGGCACCTACTCCAAGCATACATCCTCCAGTACTGTCATCTTATCGTGATCAACCCCAAGTTTTTGCAAGCTCTGTCATCAACTCACTTTCTTTTCCTAAAAATACAAAGTTTCACACGTGCGAGAAACCCTAAAAATTACGAAGTTTCGTTGATATGATGGTTTTTGATCTAAATTTATAACGAATGAGAAAAATCAATTTTTAAGGCCCGGATTATAATATGAGCGGCTCAGAAATTGATCAAGCTACGGCGCTCAGAAGCACAATGCTGCACTGATTTAGGTGCTTCTCGTTGCCATCGCTTTGCCTTTTTTTGACCTGGTCTTCTCAGACACGAGTCCTATGTTGGTCTTCTAAATCATTTCAAGCAAGTAGGAACTAAGTTTTAGTTTTCTACCTCATCATCATTGTGATAAGGAAAGGAATTGGACAACTCAGATTTATTTTTATCTTATTTAGTTTAATTTATTAATTTGATCTTTGACTTTTAATTTTTCTCTTCGGTTCCATGAACCAACTCAAACACCGTATCGTTTGTACGCTGAGCTTAAGATAAATAATATGAAGGCAAACGATGGTCTACATCCAATGACCTTGGTAATATGATAATAACGATATAACTGCATAATTATACATAACAGTATAGGTCCCAAGTTCAGTGATCAAAGAGAACAACAATTACTACTGCACTTGCAGTAAGTGCCGTACCATACTCCCCCTGGGATAGCTAAGTTTTATATACTACATTATAAAATTTATAAATAACTAGGAGTTTTACACTCAGTTTTAATTAGTTTTGTAAATCATAGCCATGTTTTTTCTTGTCTGTCTGTCATTCATTTTCCCTTTTTTCTTCGGGCTGTCGTTATCCAGCTTTTCGAAATATCCAGCGCCTCACTACCAAATTTACGCCTGAACAGATGTTTCTCCAGGAGTCCCAATTTGCTTTCCTCCCGTTTGTTCACATCTGATCTAAAGTTAGCCAATTTGATTCGATATGGTTCGAGAGCTGCCATGTTGAGGTCTACGAGATCTTGTTCCGACGTAACCAATTTCACTGAGTGCTTATAGGGGTTTCCGTATCTACTTGGTCCTTTGTTCTTAGTGGACCGATCGCTTCGCCTAACCGGAGCTTCACTATCCCCGGACTCATCCGAAACTCCTGGGGGAGCATTAATGTTGAACTCTTCTTCCGTATTAGAGGATTTTAAAATCTCCTCCACAGCTTTCTGGACCCCCCTTGTCAACACATGGTCCGCCAATTTATTCCAATCCTTAGTAGTAAGATCTCGGCTTTGGAACGTTTCTAGGATTTTATCATCTGGTCTGTGTCTCGTGATGTCTTTACTTTCATTCGAAGATTCTTTCGGTGTGGACGTACTAGGAAGTCCTGTTTCTACAGTGGGTGGCAAAAAGTCTAAGTCATTGTCACGTGACAGTGTTGCTTCTTGGGCTGTTTCAACAGCTTTTTTCTTCCTCGCCTCTTGACCAGTTTGTTTCTTAGTGCCTTGTTTAGCTCCTTTGTTACCCAAATTTTTCGAGTTTTCGAGCACTGGACCCGCGTTGTTTGGTTTCGCGCGTTTTCCTGCAAGGTTTATGCCCCCGTTCATTTCTGTGTCTTTTGATGTGACATAGTACTGACTGTCCTGAAATGGCGTTTCCACATTCTTCAAATTGGATAGTTCTGGTGATTCTGGAAGATCGTCTGAGTCACTACTCTCTGGTTGAATCTCCACTTCCTTCTTCTTTGACTTTGTTTTGGGTTCGTCGCCGTGTAGACTTCTACTCGCGTTTACTTTCTTTTTGGTTTTTTCCTGCGGCTCACTGATGACGATCTTTGCTTTTGCGATATCACTCTTACGATAAACTGCTGCAGCAATTTTACTTTAAAGCAAGCTAATAAGTAAACTAATAAAGTAAACTAATAAGCAATTTTACTTTAAATGCACATTAACAATCAATTTTAACCAAAGTACTCTCACGTTTACTGACCAATTTATGAAACATCATGATGACATTATAAGTTAAGCACTGCCAAAAATGGTAACAAAAACAATACAGAACACTCTTCTACGTCTGACAAGTTACTGTTCAACATCACATAACAATTTCATAACGGATTCTGTTTCTTTGAATAACTTTCCTCTCTTCCGGTAAGGTTGAATGCACGTTTGACTTTCTTTGATGGGCCGGAAGGCCTGCCTCGCTTTGAAATTCCAGAGCTCGAAGACGCTTCATCAGCTGCTGTACCAACATCGATCTGCAACGAATTCAAATACTCGAGATGTTCAAAGACGTTCGTGTTTGACTTCATGAGGGTCCTCAATTCAGTTAACATCTTCTCCAAGCCAAACTTGGTAATCAGACTCTTCCAAGTCCCTCTCTTCAGCCCCTGTCCGTAACAACTCAAAACGGTATTGATCCGTGCGCTGTCATCTAAGTCCAGGGCCTCCCAGCCAGTTACAATCGCGGGAGAGTCAGAAGTTAACACAGCGTGGCTACAACAGGCAGGTTGGCACAGAAAATGGTTTTTCGATGGGATATAAAACCAAACATGTGGAATATTGTTCTTTTGAGGTCCAGTCTCTATGTAATGCATGAAATACCAGGGATCACGCATCAATCGCTCGAATTTGGCAGAAAAATGACCACGCCGGCAAATCAGAAATAATTTCGAACCCAGAGGCGTATACGAAATACCGTCTCCTCCTCCCACCTCAATATGTCCGTCGGTCCACCAGCAACCATTACTCACAATGGCGTCCTGTTTGACGACGATAAGATTTTTGGGGGCAGTAAATGACATTAAATCCCTGAGAGTTAAACTACATGCGGCAGAATCTGTATTTAAATCTGTAGCAATGCAATGAAGATCCTGATACTTCCTGGAACTCCTATCCTCCAGAGGAAAGCAATCAGTTCTCTCTAATACCAGCAACGCACTCAAGGAAATGTTCATCCACTTCGCAGAGCTTTGAATCGGCAACTGCAACGGGATTGTTACACCATCCACTTTCCGAAAAAACATTTTCCATTCCTTCCGAATTGGCCACGATCTTCAGCTGGTCCCAGGACGTGACACCATTCGCATGAAGAAAAGGTACTTCTCTCCAACCCAAGCCGCTCTCTCCGATGAACATTCAAAAACTTCATAATTTTTTCCTTCAAAGGAACACTCCGCTTTCGTGTCAACATCTTCGAAACAAATCAATCTGAAAAAGTACAAATTTGAATTAACAGTAAACGGTAAAGTAACTGCAAGAAAATTAAACAAAGTTAATAGGCACGCCTTAACAAATTTAAAATTCAAAACATTTTACCACAAAGATTTAACATAACGGCTAATTTTAACTCTACAACTGTACTAATTCAAGTAGACCAGTTCAATCTAGTTCAAGTAAACAAGTTCAATCTACTCATCTAGTAGATAAAGCACAACGCTAGCCACAAAGCATAGCAAACACCGCAGCAGAAGACTGCCTCCAAAGATAGCGACGAAGCACATCTTCCACGAGAAAGATTCTTCTCCTAAGGGAGGACACACAGCAGACCGCTGCGACCATACAGGCCCAGCAACAGACTCAACGAAACTGCCATTTTGGCAACAAAACACCGATGTGTTGCCAAATGCAACTGCAAAACATATCACAAACTGAAAAAGAAGAGGTTGTTCACTGTCTTACTCAACTCTTTTTTTTGTAAGAACTGTAAAAAGAACGTTTTACCTGTCGAAACTCAATTTAAAAAGAAACACCGGAAAAAAAACACTTGATTACGGAAACATACGCGAACCTTCGTTTTAACAAACAGAACTTTAGCCCAATTCATTTAGCTGCTGAATTTTACGTAATTCGAGTTAATTTTGTTTAAATGTTAATCATGGATATTATTAAAACACTTTAAGCTATACCATCGTCTATTCTGACTCAACAGAAACAAAAAACATGAGAAATAGAAGATAAATTAAAATTGAAGACTATGTACCAAATCCAGATTAAAAGTTAAATGAAGTTTAAAGAGTTTTGAGTTATTCTAATTGTCGCGCACGTACGCCGTACAATTCTGAAACTACATCCGCGATGTAGAGGTATTCCTCTAGTTCAGTCTCCAGCTGACTCAGCGTATCAGCCGGCAGAATCGGAGCAACAGCTCGAATCAGCGACTCATTCAAGTCATCGAAGAAGGAGGGCCCATACCCCACCCCGCGGACTGCCAGGCATACATAAAGCACATCCCGGCCTAAATATATGGCAAGCATATCCTCCAAATGCCCCTCAAAAATTCTAATTTCATCTAAGACCACGTGCAATTCATTTTGAGTAACATTGTCAGGCAGAGTGTCGGCCCAAAACTCCATTATGCTGGCAAATCCCAACAGCAAGACATTTTCGAGTTGCATTATTTCTTCAGTAGCTTGAATTTAATGATTAAATAGAAAAACTGAACCTGAATGACAATTCGTTTCAAACAACAAAGGTCACCGAAAATTTTCACCAACTTAAATGCCAACTCGACTCAAACTTGAAACCTGCTCTTTGAACATCCTGTTTAACCTATACAAACGTAAATGTCACGACGCCCACAGAGTGAAATAAGCATTCAAATCAAACTTGACAACCAACGAACAAACTTCCCGTCTACACTAACAGAAACCTTGCTCATGAATAGCGAGCAATTCCAAAATC